TTTACAGTATTTACAGTGCTCCAAGTGTGGCCAAAATTCTGGAAATTGAAATCTTGTGCGATAATATTTCTATAATTAGCCAGAAAAAGTTTAGGGTAGGCAATAAATTAAATTGAGTCAGGCTATTGAAACCACTTATTAATTCACAAACCTGATGACTACTCACTATATGTCAAATATTGAACTAAAACAAGTCACAAGTCTATTATTAATATTTATATCTGGGAACTTTGGTTCAACTGACACTACTTCACTTAATGCTGTTTGCAGACATTACTAAATGCATGACAATATTTGCCGAATTCCAATTACAATATTATACACTTACTGTATATCATTACAAAATGTTATCATGCAAACCTTAATGCAAAAGGATTGTCACCTGTGCATATGTAAGAATTGAATCCTGGACAACGATAACATAATGCCAAAAAGCGCAATGACTCGTGTATAGATACTAATTTATAAACAACACAACGCTATGGTCATCTGTTGCACATGCAGGTGATGACTCCTGTTTTAACACACAGTTAAGCAGTGTTTGGTTGTCTGGTTGCTATGTTACTAAGTGCACATCAGTGTGGCTTATGCAAACATGGGACGTATTAATATACTTTCAATCATCAAGAATAAGCAATTGTACACAGAGATTTGAGTGTTCCAGTCTCCTCTTAGCACCGGACATTTGGATTTTGTATTGTAAGGTATTCTGGTTGTATTTGGAACTTTAAAACATGTTTGTAAAATATTAAAAATATATTTTTATTCATACACTGGGATAAAAAACAACAAAAAAAACAACATAATTTGTGACATCTTGGTATCCAAACGTAGATTGGGAAACATCTCTGAGGGGTAACATGACCGGTTGTGAAATCAACCCTGTATTTCTATCATGGAGTTCACACTGTGCACACTCAGCCACATAGTGACCAAAGAACTACAAACTGTTTTTTCTCGCCATGGATATTTTCATGCAGTCTACACTATGCAACCCACATGCTTGCTATCACAATAAATTAATTAATTCTATATAAGGAAGTGTGCACCGGGAGCAACATTTTTTAAATTATGTTAACACAACACAAACAAACAACACATTATGGGAGCTATGAGATGAAAGCACTTGAAAGAGTACTGGCATTGCAATGGACAACACATGCATCATATTTATTTTATGCATTTTATTTGCTTACCTCATATGATAAAGTTACAAAAATAAGTGGTCTGAAATTTATCTATATTTTAAAATATATACTTGAATTGTGCTATAACTAAGACCTTATGAAGATAATACAACCTTCAGTGTCGTTTTCTATGTGCAAGTGATTTCTGAATTTTACTTTGATTTTAATATTAAATGTGTAACTAATTCTTTATGAAAAGTAACAAAATCTGAAGATGATCTGAAGATTAAAAAAAGTTTCAAGTGTAATCATTTTCAATGATATGCTTGTTTTAAATGTTTTAAAAATATGCACTTGTATTTTCAAATTCTTAATGGAGAACTTTAAAAAAAATTACAACTTTCTGTCAAAAATACAAATTATCACATGATTATAGAAATATTGGTTATCCTGTATTCACAAAAAAAAATATGTTAATGGGAAAGAGAGCAATCTTTTATGCTGGGAATCATTTTGTCAATTGCAATGCTTGTACTACAATATGAACACAGGCAGATGATAAGTTAATGGATGAATCACAGCACAGCACACAGTTTACACAAAGCATGCAAGATTACTACTCTTTCCAGTACAAATAGTGAAACAAACAAAAAGATAAAGTACAGAATGGCTGCAAGCAGTAAAGGTCGCTCACAGAAAAAGTTGAATTCACAGAAAGATGGCTTAAAACTTAAAAGTAATTCCTACTGTTTTTATAAAATAGATTTGTTATATATACTTTTTTTAAAATAAAATTGTAATATCTTTTCTGAATTATGAAGAATAATTATTTAAGACGCTGTGGGTGGAGCAATTTGTTCATGAGAATTTCTCTAATAGGGGATGGGGCAGGAAGAGTATGAATTATTGGGGTACAATTATTAAGACCCATTTAAAAATAATTTATAAACTGTTGTGTAATTATTAAATTTTCACTACTGGTCATATGGAAATCACTCACTAATTTGAATATATTGGCATGGTGTGACCTTTAACCTGCTGTATGCAATTTTTTACACAATCCATATTATTTCAAAAACTTTCATCTTTTCATAGACTTTTTAGATTCCTCAGTAAGGGTTGGGACAGAATTTTAAACTGACAACATAGACTTGAAATGGGTTTCTTATTTCAAATTGTACAATGTGTTAAAAGTGAGATTGTTAAGATGGACAGTTGTAAGAAACGTACACCATGTAATGATTGTCAGTCATATTTTGGCATGTCATTTTCATGAATGGTAAGGCAGCAGACATAACATAGCTTTCAGTAATTTCAGTACCCCCAGCTAACAGCTTATAACAAAATAACACAGTTACTACACAAGCATCACTAGTAACCTTTATATAGATACTATCCTAACATGCTTACATGGCAATTTCAGCTTTGAAATGGAGTTATTTTTCTGATTTTTCGCAATACTTTTTACTTCAAACTAATTGTGTTTAATGCAAAAGTGTTATTATTAATTCAGCTTGTACGTATTCCAACAGTAAAGTCAATATCACAAAATAAATGGCCTGGCTTATATTGATATTAATAGTCACGTAAGCATGTAGGAAATGTTGTTGAAAAGATTCTCGAGCCATCCAGGGGGATGTAGATTATACGTTGTAACAATGTTGCACCAAATGTTAAATTCCACTACCTTATATACCGGTAGCAAGTTACCACCAAATATGGAATAAGCACAACACAACTTAAGAGCACAGAGTACACAAAGCAAGTAACACTTTAAAGACAGCGACAAAGAATTAAGCTTCAAAATCACTACTGTACTGCTCACTATGTGATTTTTTAGAGCTTGATGACGATGACGATGAAGACGAGGAACTACTGTCTGTCTCCCAATCAGACTCACCCTGATACTTGTCATCATCTTTCTTTCCTCCTTTGGATTTATCGCTTGCTTTTTTGGATTTCTCTTTCTTATCTTTTGTTTTCTTGACTTTTTTGTCTCCTTTCTTTTCCTTTCCTTTCATATCTGCAGCTACTTCACATCTGCAACAACATAATACAACGTAGTACATTTAGGATTGTAATTAACACTTAATCACACCTGGTATTTTGATTTTTGTTTAGTACGGGAAATTGAACACAGACTGGTACACATAACTGTCAGTGTACAATATGTATAAATAAGCATGGCAGAGTGAGAGATAATTTTGTCAACAAATTAATAACTGAAAACAGGTATCAAGGGTAGACCTTATATTCTAAGGTGAGTGATCACTCCATTTACCTATCACTCACCCAAGTCAAGATACAAGAGAGCTAATTATAACTCTTTCAATTCATAGCATTTTAAAGAAAAATTAACAGCACAGTTTCCTTAATCACTCGTGCTACTACCAGTATGTTCAGAAGAGCCATTTTCAGCTGGCAGGTTATTTTTAAAAGGCAAGTCCTGCATGGGCTATTATTAGGTGACACCAAAGAACAAGAACATATTGGTAATTATCATAAATATACAAACACAATAACAAACTTTTGATAACTATTACTATTATATTATTAATCAGCCATGTGTATGTAAAAAAATATGAGTAGATGTGTTGAGCATTGAAATGCAGCCCTAGCTCTCCATCGTCACATACAGGCCAGACTTTCACTTACTTGTAACACTGATAACCGCCCTCTACAGCTTTATATGAGAAATGTCCTTTATTTCCACCTAGTCTTTTTCCAGGGCGGTATTTATATTCACAGCATGCACTTAAACGGAAATCTTCAAGACCATTCACATATATTGTAACACCAAATGGAAAGCCACGATGACGACGAGAAGTAAATACTATATCATCTAGATAAGAACACAAATATATGAAAATCAACATATAGAAAAACACTGTGGTATAAATGCACACCTTTGAAATGAAATTGATTCATTCATTCATTCATTCCAATTTACATAATACTAGTAACTAGGACATGGTCATTTGAATAAAACCAATTTGACATTCCTGGATTTAAAATTGATTCATGTTTGCAGAAACAAAATTCATGTGGTCAATTTTCTCTATTCAGCTACAAATATTCAGTGTTGTATACTGTAAATATATTAAGTATTCACTGGTTTTTAATTTCGCTATTTTCGTTGATGAGTAAAATCTGCTAAATTAAACCCATGTGAACGTGTAAAATAACAGTAAACTCATTGTTTCTTCACCAAGTTCATGACTTTAAAAATCCAGTGAAGTTATTCAATGTATCAAAATAGTGAAATTAAATGCCAGTGAAAATAAATGGTTTTACACAGGGGCGGACATCCAGGCATTTTCACCGCCTAGCAACCATCACGGTGAAAACAAAGGCCAACAACTATCAGAAAACAGTACTTTGGGATGGTTATTGAGATGTCTTGAACAGTGTAACAAGATTATCCTTACATATGCAACATATATAAATTTGGTTGTTCAGAGATTGTGCTGTTTTCTCAAAGTTAGCTATTTTCACCGGCTCACCGACCGGCGTTCCATAGCAGCATGTACAGAGCCCATAGAAATACATGGTAGAGTGGTGTGCATCTTAGCAACGTGGAACGTCTTGTGACGTAGCTCCACCCCCAATAAGACTTATCTGTATTAAGTTCACACTATTTGGCAGCCATAATAAACCAATCCTATAAATCATGCCCTCTAGTGATGGAACATTTCAATGATGTCAAAATGACGTATATGGGTGAAAGCAATGTTTTCAAGTTCTCAAATCACTAAGAATATAATCAAATCTCTGAAAAAAACATCTTCACTGATGGACAACTCAAGATCAAAACAATTTTGATGATTTGAATGGCTTTCATGTCACCCACTTACATCATTGACATCAACATGAAATTTTAGATAAAAGACAGACATGGTATGTTCTTACCTCCTTTCTGGATCATTCCCTTAAAGACACAGAGATTCTCTCCACCACAGTGTTGTTGGTATATAGTAACCTCATCTTTGTCCTCGTCACGTTTCTCATAGGCCAGATTTAATCCTTTACCATGGTAGTGCAAAGATACATCACACATACTTTGTAGTTGGGTAGAGTGGGTGTAAGGAGGTTCCTTTCTATGCAGGGCTAAGGAACCCTACAATGACAGATAACAATGAAACTCAAGTCAATGCAAAGATACATCACACATACTTTGTAGCTGGGTAGAGTGGGTGTAAGGAGGTTCCTTCCTATGCAGGGCTAAGGAACCCTAAAATGACAGATAACAATGAAACTCAAGTCAATGCAAAGATACATCACACATACTTTGTAGCTAACAATCAAACAACCTAAGTCCATGCAAAGATACATCATAATCAGTCACTGTACTGTGATTAAAAAATAATACTAAACAAACCTTGTGCGATTTCTCTCTTAATTTCCTTCCATCCTTTGTTGTAATCATTCTTCTGCGATGCCTGGGTGTGGTTTTTGGTGTTGACGAAGCACTTTTCGGTGGCTGTGGTAATAGCATAGGTACCCTGTATGGTGAGCCACCACTGATGTCCAAGTCAGCCATGTCCAAAGAAAACTGTCGTAATGCTGCTGGATCAAGCTAGGATAAAAATACAGTATAGTTATAAATCATTCAGCCACAAAAAACAATAAACAAAGTTGAACTGGATTATAATAAAAGATATACTATATGTATGTACAGAAAGATGACTAGAGAAAGATAGACCCTGGAGAAAACTTTCTAACACAGATTACCATGGTATCTACATTGTTGGTTTATATGCACTTCTATTAAAGATGCTTTTATAATAGATACCATATGTAAACTGTGTTAATTGTAATAGAAATCCTGGTACAATGTACATATGCAAATTAACTAAAGCTGGAGACGGCTGTGTTGTCACTATGCATTATTTATTTATTTATTTAATAAAATTTGCTAAATTAAATCCAAATGAATATGTGAAACAAGAATAAAACTTATTGTTTCCCTGCCAAATTCATGAAATTAAAACAGAGTGAATATGCACAAAATAGTGAAATTAAATGTCAGTGAAAATAAATGGTTTTTATACAGTATGTTATGAGATTTGGAATTATTTAGGTTAATACTGATGAGGGATTATCATTGCTACATTTAGTAACTATACAGAATTTTCGTTTTAGCTATAATTTGATGATATGACATCATTGTGCAACAGACGACCCTGTACATCATGGGTAAAGTACCTAAGAAACCAAAGTTGCAAAAACCAATGACAAAATACAGAAAATCTTCACAAGGAAACAATTACATGAATCTATGACAATATTAACACCGATAGGATTTACAAAAAAAACAAATATATTGTGCAACAATCCTTACTTAATAGATTGTATAACTCATTAAGGATAACAAGTAAGTCCACTATATGCATTCATACATGTTTTCACTGTATCATGCTGACATTTTCACAGGAGTTTTGCAAGAAAATGAACGTACAATTATTTGTTCTCAAAAAAAAAGGAATGAAACTGGGAAAAATCAAACACTCGGATTGTAATTCTTTACAAATTCTAATTTGAATAGGAATACAGAAAATAGAATTACAGGAGGAATTTTGTTGAATGTCAGCAACCAAATACCGGATTCGGCTGATACCTCGCCCATCCTAAACCCCGCCCATGGGCGATGTTTCAAATAGTGGGCGATGTTTTGGTCCACAGATTGCCTGACTGAACCAGCAAACATTTTTACAGACCCCAATTTTCCCGTCCGACATCTTGTATCGAGCGCGCTATTTCAAATATGACGCTAAAATAATTCACTGTAAAGTCAAAAAGCATTAAAACTTCAATAAAACCAATGCTGTATACGAATTGTTGTTGCGTATTATGACTCGTTAAAATACATTTCACTTACGTTTATTACACTCGAATAAAGTCTACGCTTGAAAAGAATGTTATTTACTAAGTTTAAAATATCCAAGCTTTCCGGATTCGAGCCTCTTGGTTGTTATCAGCAATGTTTAATCTTTGTCTGTATTGCATTCCAGACAAAAGTCAGTAAACAAGAAATTTGCGAACTAAAATGTCTCCTGCGTTTCACATGCGACATGATTATTAAAACACTGAGTGAAGCGGTCATGTACGTTCTATAAATCTAACCTTGTGCACATAATCTTGTACTGACGTGTTTTTTGTTCAAAAAAGACATTCCTTTTCAGTTAACCCCCAGTTAACTCTTCGCGTTCATGGTATTTGTGAAAGTTGAAAGATTTTTTGAACACATGATTTGCGTCAAGCTGGATGCAACGCATTATCAAGTCGGTAATATTGAAATATTCACAGACCCAATACAAGATGGGCCTCGTAATATCTGCCAAAAGGTCCACATTTTTCTAAAAAAAAATCAAATCCTCCATAAGATCGCCCAGGGCAGGGTATCAGCCGAATCCGGTAGTACACATTGTATGAGTGGATTCCGTTTTGTTTTTCTTTACAAAATTTTACATCATATACTTTCTTTTGTAAAAAATGTCACATATAACAAAAACATGTGTTGTATTCTCACACACTGTAAATTGCTATTATAATAATATTGAGTTTGCAAAACATTTTTTTTTTAGTGAGCCAGTGGGAAACCCACAAAATTTGAGTGATTTTTCCCAATTGTTTTCATGAATGTCATAAAATCATCAAATCGTAAAAAACCCTAGCAGAGAAAATTAATTATTTACACTATTTTTTTTATGCAAGCATTCAGAATAAGTAATACATTGTCATAGATACTGTAACTTACAAAGCAACTGAGTATTGCACATTACTGCTGTAGGTAATGTGAAGTGGTTACATGCATTACACATTACTGCTACATAACGTAAATTGGTAATGTGTATTACATAGTATCACTACATTAATGGTGAATTGGTAATGCATACTACTGCTATATATTGGTGAATTGGTAAAATATGTAATACTACTGCTACATGATGGTGAATTGGTGACAACATTACTGCTACATAATTGCGAATTACAATGTAGTAACGTAATATTACTGCTACATAATGTTGAATTACTAACGCATATTACATATTACTACTACATTAATGGTGAATTGGTAATGCATACTACTGCTACATGATGGTGAATTGGTGACAATATTACTGCTACATAATTGCAAATTACAATGTAGTAACGTAATATTACTTCTACATTATGTTGAATTAGTAACATGTAATATTACTGTTACATAAATATAATGGTATATTACTGCTACATAATGGTGAACTAATTACACATATTACATATTACCATAATACTACATAATGGTGAATTAGTTACACATATTACTGCTACATAATGGTGAATTAGTTACATATATTACTGCTACATAATCATGTATTAATTACACATACATGTATTAAATATTACTACTACGTAATGGTGAATTAATTACACATAGTACATGAAATTACTGCTACATAATAGTTCATATCTGGTATGTTACCTCAATCAAGTACTGAGTATCAAGTTCATCACTATCCTTTGGTTTAGACCTAGAGTGATGGTGACTCTCTTTATTATCTACTCTTCTCTACAATGAAAAAGGCAACTTTTGAGTAAATAAATCTAAACACAATACAGTGTGGATAGACACAGTAGAATTTCTTGTTATTCACTGATGTCTGCAAGAGATGATGGCAGCCACTATATTGACATCACCATGCTAACCAAACACCATTTATTGAATAGAGAATCGATTGAAACTAGTTGACATGTTTTTTAGGGAAGTAATACACAGAAATGGCCTGTTTGTGTGAGTAACTGCTACCGGGGTACATGTATGTTCAGCAATTTCAATGACAGAAAACTGAAGAAATGAAGTAAGGTAATGGACCGCAAGCAATAACACAAGCAATTACAAACAACCGTATAATTATCTCACTGAAGCACAACAAGTGAGGTATATAATGAGACCTAGAACTTACCTCTTCTCGTGATGCTGAACTAACTGATGATGAGGAAGAAGACGAGGAAGAGGATGGAGACCGTGATCTGGCACCAGAAGGCGCTGTCTGTGGTCTGTCCCGAGAACTTTTAGGTCGTCGCCTGTCTTGCTCTTTTTTGTGTTCTGAATGGGGTCTGGAATTACTCTGCCTTGGTGATAAGTAAGGTAGAACGTCCTCGTCTCCTCGTCTACTGCGATCAGTCTGTAAAAATTACAATTTAGTGTAGACTAAAGAAAGTACTACTATAAATACTCCATTGTAGTTTGAATTAATTTTCACTGAAAGGCATCTAGGCTGTTTTGTATGAAGTTTATTTTCACTGAAAGGCATCTAGGCTGTTTTGTATGAAGTTTATTTTCACTGAAGGTATTTTTACTGATTCATCCATCCCTTTAGCAAAAATAAATTCTAAGTAAAAAGTACTTCACAGTAAACAAAACCATCAACACAATCCTGAATCTCAGCGACACAATGCATTCAATGTTTGTGGCCCTTGTTAAGTGAGAATGAATAAATTATCATGTTATTTTGTTTCCAAAAGTGTTACATAATTGGTGATTTAGACACAAGTCATCAACGTTTAGAACTTTTTTTTTTTAACCAGTATAAAATTTGTTTATGGGGTGGGGGGGAGGACAAAATACGGGCTGGGCCTTTTTAGAACAATGTAATTACCGTATATATATTTTCATGTTAAAGCATTATTTCATAAAATCAGATAAATAATTTAGGACAACCATAAGTACTCATCTTTTTAACCACATGTAATCGTGATATATGACAAAACCTTTGTACTATAGGAACCAATAGTGCTAAAAAATAGTTTTGTTGGCCATCATTTTCTTTTCTGAGTTTTATGAACATGAAATAAAGTTACATGTACTACATGTATATGGTAAATGTCAAGGGAATCTGGCAATAAGTTTTAATGCTATGAAGCTTATGACAAGGTGCTGCCATGTATGAACGAAGACAGTACAACGAGAGCATCAACCATTCCATAGCGAAGGTTGGTGTGATCAATTGCATACTATGCGGTATACTCGTAATAACCTTAGTATTACAAGTCATTACAACCCAACTGCTCGGTGAAGGATTACCCAGAGCTGAGCAAAATAGCGAAAATTATTCCTCTATGAATTTTGTTTTTTAAAAACATCTCCCATCTTCACACACATGTAATCATTCCATATTAGGAATTCACAGTTGCCAATATAGTAAAATACATATACCCTGTAAAATTAAGGCATGCTATAACTTATGACTTTTATAATAATTTTCAATGCTACATGTATAATAACTAGTTTGCCAAGGTGGATAAATTGAAAACTACCAATTAAATGCTTCTGGAGATTATCACTGGACTGTAAAATTACTAGATAAGTTGACAGCTGTGTACAATGTTCTCAACAGGCATGAAATTGTTGTCAAATGATTTATATTTTCATCCCAGGTTATTTTTTTACTCTCATGAGACAAATTGTCTGACAAAAGTACTTCATATCTTTATCTTTAATTCCTGATGAGCAATTCTGCTTCATATTTATTATGTATTTTGCTTGTAATCTCTTATTAATTTGTGCAAGATCTTCAATGCGTTTACATAGTCAGGCCAAACAAGAGCCGAGATCTGCCGAGTTCAATCCAGTTCGTTAGAGCCAAATGTAGTAGTGAATGAATACAGCAAAGATGTAGTGAATGATTACTGCCTAAAGTCGCCGTCGGGTGCTACCATTCGTTCATCTGCGGTTGTCCACACAGTTAGTGTGGCAACATATGCGTAGTAGTCATTGCTGGGACGAGATAGGGTCTTAATTTGGCCCTGATTGTTCAGCACGATGCATTTATACGGTTGGAGCCATGTCAGGGCCTAATCCTATCACAGCTCAATCCTGAGGGTTGATTGAGCCGAACTTGAGTCGTAGAGCTCCCATGCTGTTGTGTAAAGCAGCACGTGTACAGCAGTTGAGTCAGGCATGTTCTATAGACCATGGACCTAAGCTACATAACCATTTTGAAATAACAAAACTAGTAAAGAAGCTAATACGTAACCTCTTATGTATCATATCAATTTGTCATCATTGAACGACAATGCCACTGAACTACTGACTGGTGACATAAATACCACTACTGACATGTAGCAATAGTAAAGATAATATATTTGAGGAGATGCATTGTTTTGTGAAATTTCTTTTCTATTGTAAACACGGTTAGAAAGCACCACATCGAAAAGTCAAGTTGAGTTCATCGCCTGCTACATGAATAAACATGTACGTATTTAGCGTATTTCTAGTATACATGGGCATTAGTGAGTTGTACATAACTCACTGCTGTTTAATAAAACGGATCACAAATCAAAGTTTCACTTAACACTGTTAAGATACATAATTGATATTTTACAATCACTGCTTTCCAACCCATGTCAAAAGCAATTTGGGACTATAAGGTTTTATTGTTAGAATCCCTGTACATGGCGGCATTTCTGTTTAACCCAAGGTAATCTAATTATAAATGACATGGGATTACAATATACGGGTACATACGGTACATACGGTACATCAGACATCCTGATTTCATTTGTTGTTTGCCAGTGTTTCATATCCCTTTTCTATAGGGTCTATTTTTATTCTAACAAATGCACATTTGTAATGTACTTACCTTGACTCGCCGAACTAGTTCAATTTTTGCGATTTCCTCTAATTTGCGTTTTATTTCTACTTGTCTATGTCTTTCCATGTCTAGCGTTCTATGCACAATAGCTTGCGCCATCAAGTCTCGCACATGTTTCTTGTGTTGTTTTCTTGCCACGTTCAACCTGTATGTCTGTTCTGATATGATCAGCCCCTTTTTGCTAATAAGGCCAGACTTGACGAGGTGTCTGCGCATACGAGTGTTGTTAAAATAACCTACTAGATGTCTATCAGTAAGACTGTTGTAAGCGGCCAACGGGCTGTGAAAATAAACATGCAAATAGTTAGGAATGAAAGTGAAATATTGTCACAAAAACAAATAGTGAATGTTTTACTGTGTCATCTATATTTACCAGTATTACAATAAATACATGTATTATAATAGGATTAAGAAACCAGAGAAAAAAAAATCTAGAAGCATAGCTTCTTCTGAAAGTACCAGGAAACCAATAACATATAAATATCATCATAAATAATACACTATTTTTTATTTCATAAAAACAGCTATATGAAGAAGTTTCAAAATCAATCTTTGGCTTTATGAATCAAGATGAGAATTTATATTGATAATGAACAAAAATGAAATAATTATTGAAAAAATACAACACTGGAGACAATGTTGCATTTAATAAATAAAAATGTATAATGGAATGTATGATTTCCTCTACAGTGTCAATGAAAGACTAATCTATTCTAAACAGTCTCATGAGTAGACAGGATGATATCAGTCAATGGTTTACCATTACTCGTACACAATTTCTTAAAATTTCACAAAATTTAAACAGTTTATCTAGTAGTACCCCGGTAAGATACGTTGTCACTGTTTTTCCTTGTTGTTAGACCATGATGTATATGCACAGACTGAGGAATTTAATAATGCTACAGAATATAACAATCTCTAGTGAACAAACACAATTACATATTTTACACAAATTGTATATACATCGCAAAAGACCCACACTGAATAAATGAGGTGTGCTGACTACAAAAAAAAAAAGGCAATTGAAATTAAAAATTTCTATTGCGATACTGTATTATTTCCTTCTGCTAGAAGCAAATAATCAAGAATTCATGTTACCGGTGACCTCTATATACTTGTATATGACCATTTTAACTTACATGAATGCATATCACCAATATTTCATTCAATTTAGAAAGGGATTTCTGATTGCAATAAGATTATACGTGACGTATAGAACAATCACTGGTGTACGGTGATATTTTCTATATGTATTATAATTTGATAGTGTTAAAAAGCATCATTTAATATTTCCGGTTACATGTAGGTATATTCAATGGATAACAACATACACTGTGATAAATGCACAGTCTAGCCAAAGGACATAGTAACTGAACTGCTGAAAATACATGATATACATGTAAAACTACAGAAATTCTAAATCAATTGATATGCATTGAAGACTGAAATCTTTACCTTTAGAAAAAAATGTAAAAAGCACTGCATGATTTGAAGTATAGAAAAGAATACAGCATATGCAATATTAAAATCAGTCAGAGCTCACAGCAACAATAAATGCCAACATCTACGTCATAACTTACTTTCACTTAAATAAAAATATTATTAAATTTAAGTATAGCTATAGTATTACAAATTTGCTGATAATATACATGTAAAAAAACAATTAAATGTATGGTTTTCAAAGATATGGATTAATAAAATGAACAAATATATTCAAAATATTAAATATTGCCTTTGTTAAAACAAAAAAAATCACATGAAAAATCAATTTCGGCATTTAATAAAGGATTTGGTTAAATAGTAAATTGCATTTGTTGCAGACACGCGGCTGCGTTTATGGATTATGAGTCCCTAGTTACCAACACACAGTAACTGATTATTTTGTAGAGACTCTGAAATTAGACTAATTATATTAATTAGCTAATTAGAATAATGTTTCAAAGAAAAACATTTTACTTGTAACATACTACAGTTATTAACAGACAAGGAAAAACATTTTACTCATAACATACTACAGTTATTAACAGACAAGGAAAAACAAACAAGAGAGGTACAAGGAAACAAAATTAAAGAAGAAAACTGAATACCGAGATGCGTTCAGCGATAGACGATTATTCCATCCAGATTCAGAAGCACAGTGATTCCAAATCTTTGTGGTTTCCATCTTCCTGCGATTTACTGGTGAATGTATTACGTTTTTACTCATAGTTAACACAAAGCAGCTAGACGAAATTCAAGGTTTAGTATCCACGTCGTTGTCTGTACGACACACACGGAGCACCAGCTGCAGTTTATATACGATATGCCCTGCTGATCAATACCATAGTCATTTATATGATAACCTTCTATACATACATGTAGCCATAGCAACAGCTCATCCATGATAAATATTGTATTCAATTTTAGGAGGCAGAGTTTTCACACCAAGTTTATAATATACATGTATGTTCGGCATAATAATGATAAAACATAAAATAATTTTACCTGATTAATAGAAATTTAATATTATTTAGTATGTTTGTTTTACTTTTTTTATTTTTTCAGAAATGAAATTTAAACTCCAGGTTTTTACATTTTAAGGTAATTTTTTCAGAAAGTATAGGTGTTTAGAGCGATGTTGATGCAAACCTTAATAAAGGCTAAGAAATTCAAGATTTATAAGTAAACCATTGCAATGTCATTTTTATTGGTGAATTGGTTAGATATAGAAGAGGCCTGCAGGACATACAACTTAATGAGAGCATGAGAAAGTAAATGCAAATATCTAAAAGAAAAACTAAATGTTAAACTGGGGAATGAATGATTCAATATTGGTTTCATTTTTGCTGCATAAGACATATTCGTACATACTTTTAATGTAATAGAAGCAATGCCTTCTGGGTAAGTGTAATACAAGCTGCAGATTTATGGAGTACAGGATGCAATTATCAAAACTACAATTATTTTTTTTCTCTTTTGGCAGCAAAGATGGCTTTCTCTTCTTACGAAAGAGAGAAACTTGATGTGGTATACAATCCCTTCAGAAGTTTAAATTACACACGATTAGTTATAGCTAACGAGGGAAGAGGATTGTAAATTTAAATTGCAGGCCTAATTTAATTGGGTTCCGTGCATTGTTTATGTTAATTACAATAACCTGAGAGTACATACAAAGTAATGAAATAAAAATTGAAACACAAACGACGGTATAGCATGCATGAGACTGCTGGTTTTGATTTATTTTTTCAATATCCTGACAGCCTAATTGATTCAGTCATCAAATACTTAGAGAGTTGTTCAATTTAGTAAATTATATTGACTGGATTTGCTACTAAATGGTGACTAATCTGTTCCCAGGGATTACAGTTTAAATTTTCATTTGCAAATTAATTGCCAATCAATTTCAGTTGCTAGTGACAAATGACAGTGTTCTCCCCAGCATTAAATTTGTGTGCGGGGCCGCCACGCTGCTTTTCCTGCCCGTCACTGTGGTCCCGAGCCGCCACGGTGATTAGTAAGACCGCCACAGTGCTTTTT